CGATCCTTAGTGAGTAAACAATCAGACATAATTCCTTCCTTTATGACTTCTCAAAGACTCACTCATGAGCGATGAGAACCTAAGCTAAAATCAATAGCTTTTATTTCTCACAGAGAAATTGCAGAATCCTCGAGCTTCTGGGCATTGCAATTCATTCTTGTATTTTAAATTTTTATGTTTATGTTTATGGACTGCCATTAGGTAATATGGTTCCATCCTGAAGGTTGATTTTTTTCATTAACTTAACTCATTTTACTTATTAGTTCACATTTATAGCTTGGATTTAATAAGCACACAGTGCAAAAGTCATAAAACAGCCCTTTTCTTGAGCAATATTTTAAAATCAAGACTCTTCTCTGAGTCATCCCAGGTTTATTTGCTCATAACTTGCTTCTCCTGTGATTCGAGGCCCAGCATGGCCAATTCCAGCCAGCCATTTGACCTTGAGCTTTGGTGTCCTTCTTTTTAATAGGGAAGTGCACCACTAATTAGTAAAAGCAATAAATGCTTAAATTTTAGAAAGCAACAATCCAACACTCACTGTGTTCAAAGTGCTTCTCATATGTTATCTGGTTGAATTCTACATCCCTACAAAAGGGGCTTTATTTTTTTTACTTTATAGGGGAGGAAACTTAGGCCTAGAGAGGTTAAATGACCTGCCTGAGGCCACACAGTTGGTAATGGTGGCAGAACTGGGTTGCAAACCCAAGATGTCTAAGTGCAATGGTCATCTTTCCTCCTACACCTGTCTCCCTTCCCCCAAGCCTGCCAATTTGGGGTCCCCCACCCCATCATCCCTTTACTCTCCCACCACCACCAGGCCCTGCGCATCTTCCTTTCATCCTCTCATCCTTTGTTTCCACTTGCCTGGGCTCCCTCCTGCTTTTCATCTACCTGGAGCACACCTATGCTCTATGACCTTGGGTGTCTCCCCATTGCCTGCAGATTAAGTTCATCATCCTTAGCCTGGCATTCAAGGGCCTTCACCATTCAGCCCCTGCCTTCCCTTCCTGTTTCATTTCCCATTCTGCCCCTGGCTCATAGTCCTGAATACCCATGCCACACTAGGGTACCGCCATGCCTCTGCTCACCCTGGTCCCTCTGCCCACAGTGCCTTCCTCTCCCCTCCATACATTCAAATCTGCCCCCTCTTCCAGGAAGCCTTCGCTGGGGCTCAAGGAGGAAAGGGCCCCTCCCTCCTCTGAACTCCGAGCATTGTGAGGAGCCCTCGTTAGCCACCTTGAACTATGAAGACAAAGCCATTGCCTTCTCTTCCTCATAACAGTGAGCTCCTTTGAAGGTGTAGTCTGTGCCTCACTCATCTCTGGCATCCCCAGAGGCCCAGGTACACAGCACATGTTGAATTAACGCTCACCCAATGAGCCAATGCTCATATCGCCTGTGGCCTCCAGGAAACAGAACGCCTGTGTCTTCTCTGTGGCGTTCAGGGCCAGCCCAGTGCAAATTTAGGGGAAGACTTTGTCCAGGTTCTATTAATTCTCAACAGCTCTGCCTCCGACGCCTCTACAAGTTTCCTTCTGTCTTCCTAGAATTGTCACATTCCTTCTTGGTCAGTGACTCAAATATAAACCCATTTTCCTCTCTCCTCCCATCAAAACTTACCTATCCTGGGCCCCCTTTGCTCAGCTCACTACTGCTTGAATGGCCTCTGGTTTATGGCAGATGAAAATCCAGCTATGATGTTAATAGCGAATTGTGACAAAGAAAACTAGACACCAGAGGAGGGGAGAGAGGGCCGTATTTACATAAAGGCATTGGCCGGATTCTCAGTCGAAGCTCCTGAGTAGCTCTCTACTACTTCCTGGGTTATCTGGACCACTGGGATTAGAACCGCAGCTGTGTCATAGACCCAGCACATTACAGTTTGCATGTACTTTCCATTAGCTTGTCATCTCCGCAGTTCTGTGAGGTTCTACTGAGGCTCAGAGAGGTGGGTTGCATGCCTGAATCACACAGCCAGTGGCTAGTGACAGGGCCTGGGCTGGAATACAGGTCTGGCTGACCCTCAGTTACCTTGTCTCTATCTCCCCAGCCAGTATGGCCCGTCGCTTACTGGCCTCCCTACCCTCACAGCAGCCTGTGTCTATGCGGAGCTTGATCTGCAGGACCTGTTCCCCCCAGCTGGGGCAGGCAGCCTGAGGGACCACAGAGGAGACTGAGCCAAGGACGTTGCCAGGCTGAGGGCAGGACGTGCCTCTCTCCTGGGTAGTGGTGCGTTCAGCCTTTGGGAGTGTGAGATCCAGGGACAGGTGACGCAGGCCATGCCCATATGGCAGGACCTGTGAGGACAAGCCCAGCTCCCAGCTGAAGAGCAGAGCTTCCTGGGCCGCGGCGGGATGGCCAGGGTCTTCTGACTGTCCTCTCCTCGGCCCTGTCGGCCACTCAAGCACGTCCTCCCCATCCGGCATCTCTGGGCCTGGACCCAGGGAAGTAGCTTCCTTTGGCAGTGACACACACACACATTTATAACGTACACACATTCACACTCTGATCGCCCCCGTTCCGTGCATGCACTCACGCGCGCGCACACACACACACACACACACACAGTGTCGCCCGCCCCCATGTGCCAGGGAGCTCATCAGCATGCATTTATGACACACTCCTGAATTTCTCTAGTTCACGTTCTATTTTAAACAGTCTAGATGGCGGCACCCCACAGTGATCAAGAGCTTCTGCTCTTACATTACATTGGGTTCAAACCCAATCTGTGTTATGTAACAGCCGTGTGGCTGCTGCGTTACTTCACCTGTCTAAGCCTCAGTATCTCATCAATCAAATGGGGATGAAAGCACTGTTAGGGTTAAACAGGGAAAGACGTGGTAAGCACTGACCACGGGACGTTTCCATCTCGCTTCCCACTCCACCTGTCCGGGTGGCCTTGGCTCGAGGCCCCCCGCTTGGCTATCTCTGTGTCTTTGCTCACCCTGGTCCCGCTGCCCACATCACCCTGCCCTCATCTCCACCCACACACATTTGCCCTCTCTACCAGGAAGCCTCACTGTGCCTGCTGGGGTCATAAGGAAATTAGAGGAGGGACCTTCCATTGGCATCTCTGCCTGTGAGTTATTAGAGCGCTGGGTTTTGGAGCTGACCCTGAGTGATTGTGTGGACTGACCGTGGCTCCAACACGCCCTTTCGCACGTGGAGAAACCAAGGCCTCCCAAAGGGAAGGACATGCCTGTGTGCTCACAGCAGGTTAGTTTGCTGTGGACGGGGACCCCAGGCCTCCTGCCCGCGGGTCTGTGGGGGTCCACTGCTGCCACCTCCTCCATGGAGGGATGCTCCCCCTCCCGTGGGCCTGTTAATGGGGTGGGTGGCCTGCTTCTCAGCAGGTTTGAGGGAGCAAGTGTGGACTGGGGTGGAAGTAAAAGATGGAGGCTTGGGGTCCCCCAGAGGAGACTCTTTATCAAGTGTGTAAGTGTATCAAGTGGGGAAGAGGCCCAGAGAGGCTGACACATGCTTGTCATCTACAAGGGACTGAAGCAGCGACCACAGGTGGCCATGGTGAGCCGGTGAGAAAGGCGCAGCTGTGTAGCATGCCGCTAAAACAACCCCCGTTGTCACCTCTTTCCTGCAGCCATTTATTTATCTCTTTACCATACCCTTTTGGAAAAAGCGGAGAATGCCACCCCTTCCTGGAGAACCCATCCCATCCCCACCCCTCCCCCAGTTCTCACGCTCTGGTTGCCGTCTGGTGCGACATTAGCGTTCACCAGCTTGCAGAGCGCTAATGACATTTGCATTTTGCTGGCTGGTGAAATGTGGGCTGGGCTGTGGGGTCCTGTGGGGAGTTTGCAGCCCAGAGGGAAAAGCAGGTGTGCTGGGCTGGGGGCCCACGCTGGTCTCTGAGAAGTGGGATCAGGGGAAACAAATGATTGCTGGAATTAAGAGATTTTTGCCTAAAGATGTGCCAAGGACACAAAGCGACTCCCAGTCCAGTGCTCCGCCTCCCCCACAGACACTCACAATATCCTGCCCTGCATCACCTCCCTAACATTTATTGAGCTCTTGCTGTGTGCCAAATGCTCTGCTGTGGGCCTCACAGACTTATGAAAGCCAGTTGAACTCCCTGCAGTCATTGAAGAGAGATGCTCTCATTATCCCTGTTTTACAGACAAGGAGACTGACACTCTAAAGAGACCTGAATTGCCCAAGGTCCCATTGCTAGAACGAGGTCACCCCAGCCTGGGGCCGGGGTCCACATGCTTCCAAAGCTCCCGACCACTATGGGCATTGCTTCCTGCACCTTGTCCGGGCTTGAACACAGCCAGGAAACCATTCTCCATTCTGGCTGTCCCAACATCCACCTGACAGGCATGCAGCGGACCCCGGCCATGCGCATGGGCTGCTTCAGGGGCTGCAAGGCTGACAACTAGAGAGGAGGGGGTGAACCCCTGGAGAGAGCACCCAGCCAAGAGTCAGGAGAGACCCCGGGTTTAGGCCTCACTCTACCACCAACTTGCTGTGTGACTTTGGACAAGTAACTGCCCCTTTCTGGGTGTCAATCACTTCATTGGTAAAATGAAGCCATTGGTCTGGCTGGATGGAGCATTTGCACATGAGGAGGGATCTTTCCTCTAATGCACTTGAACTCTTCCGGAGTTTCCACTGACTCAGAAATGTAAAATTATGTTTTATATCAAAGCAAACCATGAAACATTTGTCAAGCGTCTCTGCTCTGCAAAGGGCACGGTGCTAGACACAGTGGGTGTGATGCTTATGTTTTTTTTTCGGGATGTACACACACAGGCGTATGCATATCTGTGCATCTTAGAATCATCTCTAGGCAAGTTCAGCTGAGACCTAGATGTTGTCTCACCAATCCTGATGTGTAACCCCAGGCTTCTGTCGTCTTTGCTTTGTCACACTGCCTCCTCGGGGACCAGAGAGCATTTCAAACAAAACGAAGAGACCTCAGGCGGGTGAGATCTCCCCCAACGAGGCAGTCCTGACTGGTTCTGCTTGTCTTTGAACAGGTGGACACCCTCCGGGACAGTCCCAAGCTTCCAGTGGCAAGAGCTTCTGACTCTGTCCCCAGAGCAAGTTGAACTCTTTGAATTTGGCTCCTAGAAACGTGGGCACATACCTTTTCCAGACCTCCCAACGCTGGCCACCCAGGTAAGGGAGTTCATGCTTGTTCAGCACAGGTTTTATACTGCTTTTGTTGTTGCTGATTGTAACTGTCAGTAGGGCAACTTATCATTCTTTATCACAGTGCATTTTCATGATCATTAGCAGGAGAGCCCAGTGATTAAAGCTCTAAAGTCCAACAGACCTGGGTTCAAATCCTGGATCCACCAGGATTTGAGCAGGTTCCTCAGCCTTTCTGTGTCTCAGCTTCCTCGTCAGTCAAACAAGGAAACAATCGCACCCACCTTTTCAGTGTGTAGTAAAGATGAAATAAGGTCATCTATGAAAAGGGCTTAGAGCAGGATGGACACATAGTAAGCTCAGAACCCAATAAACATTAGCTGTGACTAATAGTAGGCCTGCACCCATGACAATTTGTAATTAGTTCCTTCTCACATTGATGGAGTTCACATTTGCGCTAGAATGTGGACTCCGCAAGGGCAGAGGCTTATCTGTCTTGTTCTTAGTTAAATCCCCAGATCCCAGTAGAGCAAACTGGACATTATTTGTTGAAGGAATGAATGAATGTGTGAAGCTGCTTTACCTATATTATGCAGAACCCTCAGAACAATTCTTGAAGGTCCTTGCATGAGTCAGAATATGGGTTTGGTCATGTTTGACAAAAGCAACAGCTCCTTAAACAAAAGTGTGGTTGATTTTTCTCTAAGAAAAATTCTGAGCTAAAGGGATTCTTCTACACAGAAACATTAGGGACTCAAGTTCCTTCTGTTCTGTGGCTCTATCATCGCTTGTCTACATGACCCATGATGGCCCATGTCAGTCTCTCCATTCTACTGAGCAAGAAGGGAAAATCAGAAAAGGAGAGGGCGCCCCTTCCTTTAAGAGGGCACATCCATCATTTCCATTCATGTCCCACTGGCTGGAATGTACATACATATATGACACACCTGGCTGCAAGTGAAGCTAGAAATTAGAGTCTTTATTCTGGGTGGCCATCTTCCCAATTACAATTCTATTTCAATGGAAGAAGAGGAAAATGGATTTTGGGGACCCTCCACTTTGCCAGACAAGATGATCCACCACCTCCCTTTTTTTTTTTTCTTTAGCTGAGCCGTCCTGCCACCTGTTGGCAGCTCAGCTCGGGCCGGGAATTGAACCGCTGTTGCTCAGAGCTCAAACTCTTGAGCGAGCTCTTAACCAACTGAGCCACTCGGCCGGCCCTCCACCCACCTTTTTTTCATCCTCCCTCCCTTTCTTCTCCCTCATAACCAGTGATCTTTTTTTTTTTTTTAAGATTTTTATTGGGGAATTGGGAGGATGGCAACAGTGCTGGGGAATTGGGGGAAGGGGAACAGACAAGTTGCTGTCGTTTTGGTCTTTCAGTCTAGTTGTGGAGGACACTGCTTCACTGGCCCAAGTTGGCACCATCATTGCGCTCTTCCCGGGCGAGGCACACCAGTCGCCGGCTTCTGGACGGCCGCTCATGCTGGCTGCTGGCTACATACGGTAGCCCATGGCAACCCACTACAGCAGGGGCTGCAGCCTGCCGTCGCCAGCGACTCACAGCAGCCCAGCTCCAGGTTGAGCTGTTGTTCAGCATCTTAGCTGTGGAGGGCAGTGTCACTGGCCCTCAAACGTGGGATCCGAACCGGGGCCCTCTGGCATCCCAAGCCAGTTCTTAACCATCACGCCACTCGGCCGGCCCAACCAGTGATCTTTTAACTGCTTCCATAGTTTTGCCTTTTCCAGAGTGTCATATAATTGAAATCACTCCGTATATAGCCTTTTCAGATTGGCTTCTTTCACTTAACAATATGCATTTAAAGTGCCTCCATTTCTTTTCATGGCTTGATATCTCCTTTTTATCGCTGAATAGTATTCCATTGGGTGTGCCACAGTTTGTTTATCCATTCACCTATTAAGGACACCTTGGTTGCTTCCAGTTCGGGGTGATTATGAATAAAGCAGCTATAAACATTCACATGCAGGCTTTTATGTGGACGTAAGCCTTAACCTTTTGGGTAAATACCTGGGACCATAACTAATGAAATGTATGGTAAGAGCATTTTAGATTTTTTACTGCCAAGCTGTCTTCTAAAGTGGCCACACATACCCCCTTTGCATTCCCACCAGGAATGAGTGGGCATTCCTGCTTCTCAGCATCCGTGTCAGCAATTGGCGCTGCCATTTTTGTGGATTTTTGTCCTTCTATTAGGTGTGTAGTGGTGTGAGCCCCATTTTAAAAGTGTGGATTATGAAACTTAGAGAGGGCAACTTGCTCATGGTGGTACAGCAGGTAAGAGACCCAGGAAGCCTTCTGGGCCTGCTTGACACCTGAGCCCAGTATCTTCCTGCTATTAGCCTCTCCCATGGCAGGCCTCTCTGAGACAGGACCAACGCCCTGGGGGGACTCTTTCTGCCCTAAGCTGGAGGGGGGCTGGATCCCAGAGCCTCATTCAGTGTTTGGTATCTGTCTGCCTCAGCAGGACCAAAGGTCAAAGAGGCAGGACCGTGAGAGGTGGGGCAGAGGGAGTGGTTGAGCCAAGGCTGGAGGCGTCCCACCTGATTAGCCAAAACACAACCCTAGGAGGAGCCAGACAGCTGGGAAGGCTGGGGCACAGGCTGCTGCCCTGTGCCCAGTTCTAGGGTTTGAGGGGAAGGTTAAAGCTGCTGCCGAGGTCAGTAAGACCCAGTGAGCAGCCAGAAGTGAAGGCTGGCTACAGGGGAGATGGGGGTGATGAGAGGCTGGGTAAAGGCTGAACTGAGGTCAGATGCATCAGTCGGGAGTCAGTCAATACTCAACTCAAACCCGATTAAGCAAGACAGGCAACTTATTGGCTTTTCATCGGTTTCCACTATGTTGGCAATTTGCAGCCTGTTTATTGGTGTCCAAGGCAGGGCTAAATCTAAGGCTCAAATGGTGCCCATGTCTGTGCCCTCTGCTTCCTTCCCGTGGGCTGCGTCCCCAACAGGCACTCCCCACGTGGCAGTGGGGCACTGAACAGCTGCTCCAGACTGACATCCTGCTCATGTCAAATCCAATGGAGGGAGAATTTCTTCCCAGGAGTTCCAACAAAAGTCCCAGAGTTGAAGCGTATTGGCTGGGCTTGGGTCACATGACCACTTCTGACCAATCACTGAAACCAAGGGGAGAGAATAGGCTGATTGGCCAGACTAGCTCAGTGCTGGGTGGTGGGTGGTGAGGGTGTGTGTGTTGTGTGTTGGGAGAGTAGGCTTGAAAGTGTGAGAGGGCTGGTACCCCAAAGGGAAACCCCAGGTGCCATTTTCAGAAGTAGGAGGGAATGCTAGGCAGACAAAAAAACAGATGCTCCCTATTGGTGCCAGGGTAGGGGGTGGCGGGCATGTAGTAAGCAGGATGGCTGGTTTGTCCCAAACAGGTCCTCCCTGTGGCTTACAGCACCAGGGACAGCCTTTGACAGTTGCACCTCAGTTTCAGTGGATCTGGTATCTGAAAGCTTGATTTATGCGTGTATATACACGAGCGTGCACACACACGATGTATCTGCAGGTGGGGCTTCACTTTTCAAAAGGATTGGCCCCCGAAAGTCCTTCCCATATTGAAATCTCTGTGCTCCTTAGCAACTACCCTACCATCTCACCCACCCCATACCTGGCTGCCTTGGGTTTCCCTCCACTTGCTCGAAGGACCTTTTCCTTTTTCCATTCACCCCCATTCCCACCCTCACCTCTATCGCCTTATCTCTTAGGAACGTTCCCTGAGCTACATTAGCATTTACGTGCCATAGGTGGCCTCCCAGAAGACCCGCCCCCTTCCCAGAGGAGTGACCACAGCCTCCCCTCAGCCACCGCCTTCCTGAGGCTTCTCAGAGGGAAGGGGGAAGAGAGGAGGCAGTCTCTGACTGAGCAGGAGACCCATGCTCGAGGGGCCCCAGGGCCTGTGTGGGGTTCCAGGGCATAGGTGAGCAGGCCAGCCTCGCAGTCCCAGCCGATATCCGCTGCGGCAGCTCTGTTCTGTCTTTAGGGTGCGGTGTATGATTTCATTTGAAAAAAGATTGCTCTGCAGAAAATAAGATGGAAAACCACAGTATATACTGCTGCCTCCCAGGCCACTGTGGCCAAGTGCTTTTTAAGATCTGTCCTTTGCTTGATTTTGGTCAACCACAAACCTCCTGGCCCTTCACTAGTCCTCCCTCCTCTCTTTCTCTCTCTCTCTCTGAATCTCTCTTGCCTGTGGATTCTGCAGCCCTGACTCACCACGCAGACGGCTCAGCATTCAGCATCACGCTGCCTTATATGGTGTGCTCAGTGCTTGCAGGGCAATGAGTAGTAATTCATTTGTTCAGCCAGTGGCTGTTGAGTTCTTACCTTATGCCAGACGCCATTCCTTTAGCTGGGAATGGGGGGGGGGGTGTCCCCTGCCTTCTCTCCTGGAAGATCTGCTGAGGGCAGGACACTTCCTGTGCATGTCTTGCCCCCAACCTCTTGTCCAGCGTGCCGTTCAGTGCCAAACCATAGTCAGACTGGGTGGGTGTTGGTTACTTTCCACACTATTTTTTAAAGTCCCCACTTATGAATGATCGGCAGAGATGATCTCTAGACCACTGTGGTCCCTTCTAGAATGACTTGGTCCTCACCATCTAGGACAGAGTATAAGGTGCAGCTTGTGATGGGTCCTGGAGAGGGAAGAAAGGCCATGGTTAGAGATCTCTATGCAAACCCGGCTGGGGATGTGCACAGGTGAGCAACAGGTAAGCCAACCCCCATTCCCAGTCCTTCTCCGTTCATTCAGCAGCACCTCAGGGGTCAGCGCTAAGAGGCCCCCTCCAGGGGCCCCTGGCCTGTTGAAAGGGAGACAGACATGAAAGTAAATCCCTGTCAGCCAAGGTGGAGAATGAGAGGGTTCAGAGCAGAGATGTAAAAGAAGACTTGGGGCTTCCAAGATCAGATTGAGAGACCACTTCTGGGTGGTGATGATGGTAGAAGATCAGGGAACATGGTGCATTTGAAGGGGCTTTGAAACAGGGTGGGATACGGGACAGGTGAGG